AATGAATTTGTAGTAATATTTTTTTTAGAGCAGTGATAGGAAACAAATACAGGGACAGACATGCAAGAAGAGGAAAGAACTGAGACAGAAGAATGTCTGATATGGGGTGGGATCAGTGTGGATCAGGAAACTGCTTCACTTTCTGTGGCTTCACTGATTAGATGGCATCGGGGTAAGTAAGGTGTCATTTATACATGATGCCTCATCATAAAATCACTCAGGTGTGAGCTGGGCCAGCTACAGCAACTACACATGGCCAGTAATCTATGCCATACCCAGCATCCTGGCATTAAAAACAGTTTTGCTTTCAGCCCATATGTTTTTGGCTCATGTATGGGTTTGCTGCAAACTTCTGTACCTATCACTGAACACTGGGACTTTTGTCCCGGGACGGGTGTTTCCAGTACATGGGAATTTCAGTGTTAAAACCAGGACAGTCTGATCAAACTGATGAGGGAGGCTTCTGCAGGGTGTTGGCTTGTGCTTCGTCTTCAGCTAGCCTTCTGTGTTCCCTCATCAGGTGGGCCAGAGAACTTGCATTTTTAAAAAATTCTCGGCTGATCCTAAAGTTCTACACAAGGAGTACTTAGATGATGAGGGCATGAAAAGGTTTCATACGGTTCTCACAATGCAGTTACTAGATTTTCACATACATACACAACAGATACGTTTATTAACTATAAAGCATGATGATTATTTACTATTCACTAAGTGGAATTGGATCATCATAAAGGTCTTCATCCTCATCGTCCTCATATTGAATGGGATGAGGAGAGGAGGAGGGATGCGGGGGGAAGGTCTTGCTGGCCCAGGGTTGGCAGAGGTGGAAGGGGAGGCCGGAGAGGCAGGCTCGCTTGATGTAACTTTGTGGAAATATATCATAATTTTTGTCTGACTTTTTTGCCTTTTCATTTCTCTAAAAACATTTCTATACCGCACCAATCCTTCTTCTCACTCGCCTTAGTTTCAGCGCTCATATCATAGAAGAGTCCCTGTCATAAAGGAAGTCAAAAGCAGTCTTGAATAATGCTTCTGCCTGATTCAAGTATATTGTTATGTAAACATTTTAAATACTCTTCAGGAGGCTCCTTGTTGAGTCAAAGTATTATATATTTTGACAAATGTCGCCAATGCCTCTGCCAAGAAGCATCAGACTTCCTGTCTCACCAGAGTGTATGCCAGATCCTTGTGATGACATTACCAACGATACTAATATAAAATAATAATAATGACAGCACTAGCCCTTATGTACTTACCATTATGTGCCAGGTCTGCTACTGAGCTCTTTTTAGTTACCTCCCACAAAAGAGGTAGTTTTAGCTCATCTATTCATTGGAATTTAAAGACGCTGGTTCTCAGCTGTTTGGAGCCTTAAATTCCTCTGGAGGGCTTTTTTAAGCATAGGTGTGGGGCCCGAGCCCAGAGTTCCTGATTCAGTAGGAGTGAAGTGGGGCCTGTATTTGTAACAAATTCCCAAGGGAATGCTGTAGTGGTCTGCAGGTTGGAAACTGCCGATTAGAGGAACTTTTAAAATCACTACACTCAAGAACTATCTTCATATTTCGTTGTAAATACCGGCTCAGAAAGAAGTGAGTGATCCCACTGCGGTACACAGGGAGGAAGGTCACGGTAGGCGTCACCTATTTGAGGTGAGACCTTGCCTGAAGGGCCACTGAAATCTGTGTGCTTCTCCTTCAACCTCTTAAAAGCCATACGCCTGTCTTTGGAACTTTAACCCAGGTTTCTCAGAGAACAGAGCGCGCGCCGCCTAGATGCAGTCAGAAACTACATTACCCAGAAGGCAGTGCCTCTGATGGCGAAGGCGGGCGCTCAGCCAATGACAGAGAGCGGAGAGGGGCGTTTCTGCCGCACCGTGGGCGGGACTTCTGGCGTCTCCGCTTAGGACGTCGTTTGGGTGTACCGTGTCTGTGTTGAGCGGCGCTTCTGGTTGAAGCGGTGGGAGGAGGCCGCTTCCCAGAAGGGTCTTCCAGACTGAGCGAAGGACGGTGAGGAGGATAGGACCTACCTCCACGGTTTTGCATGAGCCCGAAACCACCTGTAACGGGGTTGTCCCCCTAGCCTCTCCGGCGCCGCGGCACTAGCCCTTCGTTCCCGAGGCACCCGCACGGGGCCCCCTGGACCTTGTTGCGCGTTTACACAGCGGAGACCGAGGTCCCTGGTCACCCGGCCCTGGGCTGGGGTGAGGGGTCGGCTGAGCTCGCTAAACGGGCTTTAGTCGCCGCTTCTCGCGGTCTCGCTCGGCCCGTGGGCCTCATGGCGGCGCCGGCGCTGGTGAGTGGAGGGTCGCGCAGGCTCACGCGCGCTGGGGTAGCGGTCCTCACGGTTCCGCCCGCAGTGATACAGATCCTGGGACTCTTCGCCATTCCTTCTTCATGCTCTTGGATCTGGAGTTCCTGGAGGAATGCGGCGGGGGGGTGGGGGTGGGGGTAGATCTAATCACTTCTAACCCAGGGTTCTGAATCCAGGCCAGGGGTTATAAGGGGAGGCCCCCATTTCTGCCCCTGACCTCAGCTTGCCTTTTCACTGCCCTTGGCCTGCATTCCCTCGGGTCTAAAATTGGAATAACCGTGTGTGTGTATTAACGATTATTGTCTCTCACTTGAGGGAACCAGAGAGGGTATGTGTGTGAAGTGGCCTTATTGCTCAGCACGACCCAGAGAGCATCAGTCTGGATGTGATTCTGAGAGGGACTAACCTGGTCCTGCACTGCTCTTAGGCTCACACCAGGGAGAGCCTGGCCTTCGGGCCTCCCTGCCTTAGGCCTCTACCCAGCTGGAAGCTGGGAGAGGGGATGGGAGCTGCGTTTTGTGAATTGCTGCTTCTCTGGTAGGTATAGAAGGCCCCTGGACAGGTGGGGAAGACAAGACAAGTCACTGGATTGAACTTTGCAGATGCCATCTGTGTATTTACAAGTGGAGTTGGTTTGCAACTTGCAACGGTGATCCGTTTTCCTCTTTAACACATTTTCTTATTCAGGTTCTCCCACTTTCCAAAGGTTTGGATTTTGCCACTGGCTTTTAGGAGAGACTACATTAGTAAGGTAAAAACAAAAATCCTTTTGGGATTTCTTTCGGTTGGTGAAAACAGGTGCTAATGTAAGTTTTTCCTAAAAGCAAAGCTGGCAGTAAGGGGAACTTTCAGAAAGTTGGGGGATACTTTTCATTTTACTGCATTTTGGCTTAGGAAAGTTTTCATAGGAACACTGTGCTTTCAGATAGTGGGGGAAACCTGTGCTTAAAGGGTGACTCCATTACAATATTCATTAATGATGGTGTACAGGAATGCTGTGTCTCCTGAGTTGTAAACACACAACAGGCCTTAAGTTACTCTGTAGCATGTCACCCTGTTTACTCTCATCCTAGCTCTGACCACTTTCGGGACTTACGTTAGTTATTAATCTTTCCTCACCGGGCCTGCTCCCTAACTTCACGCTAGCCCCATTCCAGTGCCCCCTGAGAGAGGCCTTCCCTGGTTGCTCCAGCTAAAGTCCCCTAATGTTTGCAATCAGTTCATTCTCTTTTGTTGTTTTCGGAGCCCTTAGGGCCATATGACTTGATCTTGCTCATTTCTTTAATTTCTTGTCCAGACCTTTCCCCAGCTCCAGAGTGTGAGCTCCTGTTCTCTGCTCTATCTCCAAGCCTAGCACCAGTGCCCAATAAGGGATTGATGAACGAAAGATTTTTCTCTCTGGGACTATGTCACACTTAGATTAACTCTAAACCCCCGACCATGGCTGGACCTGAGAGACCTGGGTTCAAATCTTGCCCCTTCCCATTAGACACACAACTCTGTTCCACTTGGCTTTGAGCCTCCGTTTGCTGCTTGTGAAATGGAGGTGATGGCACTTACCTCATGGGCTTAATATCTGCTCCTCTCATTGTTTTGTGTCTTTCTCCAATGGCTTCCTGCACAGGAGGCTTTTCTTTCCCACGTTCTTTACTCTGTCAGAGGCACCATCTGCCTCCCTCCTGAGCCCAGCACAGAGCTAGGTTCTCAGGAGATACTCAGGGGTTCAGGCCTCGGGTCTTTCTGGACTTCTGCCGGTGACCAAGCAACAGGCTGTCATCTCATCTAATAGATATACAGCCACCCATCACTTCTGTTTGATATTCCAGGCATTGATAACATTTAAAGATGTGGCTGTGACCTTCACTGGGGAGGAGTGGAGACACCTGGACCTAGCCCAGAAGACCTTATACCGGGAGGTGATGCTGGAGACTTGTGGGCTCCTGGTTTCACTGGGTAAGGATTCATTGTTCTCCAGAGTGGTACCCACAGGCTTTCATTCCATCCTTTCTCTCTAAGCATGGCTGATTGAGAAGGCCTCTGGGACCCACCTTCCTGTCTCCCCACGTCCTCAGCCTATTCTGTTCTAACCTCTTATTGGCGTCCCTATGTGTGCAATAGGGATTGTTGTATAAGAAACATAGTTCTCAACATTTTTACCCAAGTGTCCAGCAAAAGCTGTCCTCAGTCTGGAGTCCTTATTCCAGATCTCCATAATAGGTAAGGTGATTGGTTCAGTTTGGTTGGATCAAATGTCCTCGTAGCCCAGTAAGCAGGACCTGTGAGTTCTCCAAGAAGTGGGTGAATCAGACAGACAGGAAGATATTTGACATCATGCTACTGGTATTATTCTAAGCAGCATAATCTCGGCTAAATGGCTTCTTTGGCTCCTGGTGTCTGCAGTTTTCCCTTATTTCCTAAGGCCTATGCCTTGCTTCTCTGCTGCTAAGGGAGATCCTTTTAGAGGGTGCACAGACACATCATTAATGGCATTGATGGGGATCTAAGAAAGCTCTTCCTTTTTCCTTCCTCTTTCCTGCCTTCTGATTGTTGCTGGAAGAGTCTGGGCTTGATGCTGCATCTTTAGCTCTCCTGTGTCTCTTAGCTAATTTCCCCTTCAGAAAGAATAGCTGTAGGACACATAGCCTTGAGGACGCAGCGTGAGCTTCCTGGGACTGAATACAGTTATTTTGACTTTATTGTATTTTTATAGTAACCTTTCACTTAGCCCAAGTGACCTAATAGCGGTGAAGTGCTTAGAATAGAACTAGGAACATAGCAAGTATGACATGTACTTATTATATGTACTAGATCAGTCAGTCCCAACTATTCTCCCACCGAAATTTAAATGGCCAATTTACCCAGATATTGGTCTGAATATGAATTGAATTGAGGCCTGAGGTCTCCCTTTTCCCAGATGTCTAAATGGTCACCATGACAGGGCTCTCCCAGCCTTGAGTCCACATTGTCTCTCCCGGGAGGTCAGTCATCACTGCAGTAAATGGTGTTAGCTTGTGACCATTGTGATTAGTTGTTGAAAGGAGATGCGTGGGGAATAGTATTCCAGGTGGAGGGACCAACAGGAGCCAAGTCCCTGTGGGGACAGGGAGCTCAGTTCCATGACAGAGATGAAGGAAGGTCTGATTTAACTTTGACACTGTCCCATCATGGGGCTCAGTTCCAGGCATCTAGCAAACATCAGTGAACATTTGCTGCAGGACAACTGGATGCATTCTGGCCTGCAGTATAGGATTTTCTAGGATTTTCTGTGGGTCGTGGTGCCTTAGTCACTGGATTCTCTCCCGAGTCCTCCTGTCTTTAAGCCTTCACATTTGGCAAAATATGTTTGGGTGCATGTACCAGAAAACCTCCTCATACTGATTTCACCCCTGAAAAATGTAATGCCTTCACCTGATTAGAAGCCCTGAGGTGATGCTGGCTCCTGGCCTGGTAGGTGCCAACCCAGGCGTGTCTGTTCACTTTCTGTCCTTGGTCCAGGCCATCAGGCCAGTATCCTCAAAGTCACCATGGGATGCTACAGCGGCAAGTAGGGCAGCAGGTCCCCACCTTCAGCTCTGTCTTCCCAACTTGGATTAAAGGCTTTTTCTTCAGAATGGGTAGCGGTTTTAGGTCAAGGCCCACCTCGGACAACTATCAGTAGATGCCATTCAACAGTTGATTCAGTCCAGTGTTTTTTAGCCATCCTTGGGCACCAGAATCACCTGGGGAGCTTTACAGACTCCCTGTGTTCTGTCCTTATGCCCAGAGATTTGGTTTAACTCACATTTGGTTTAACAGACATCTCCAGGTAGTTCTGATCCACGGGGAGGTGGAATCCTACTGGCTTCATTAGGGCACACCTTCTGGAAGGAGTCATTTCCTTTCTGGAGTTTCATGGTGGCATGTGAAAGGTGTATACTCCTGTATACTTGAGACTTTTCCTTTTGTCCTTACCTACATACCCATGCCCCATTTCTTTCTTCATGCACAGGGTATCCTGTTCCCAAACCAGAGCTGACCTACCTAGTGGAACATGGGCAGGAACTATGGACAGTGAAGAGAGGCCTCTCCAAAAGCACCTACACAGGTAGGTGGCTGAGAGTCTGGCAGGTGGGTGCCCTGGCAATGGGTTTCATGGCAACTCACAGACTACCAGGGGATCACCTGTCTGAAATTCCATGGGCAGCTTCTTTTGTGGCCTTCCTGGAGTCTTGGTTGGTCATGGAGCACTCCCAGTTGTTTCCCTTGTCTTTCCACCCCGTGGCACTCTTCGTCTTTATTAGGGTTGGGAGGTGGTATACTGAGTAAGAGACAAGCTCTCAATGCTTGGCCACTCACTAGCCTCATGACTGAGGAAGTTGCATGATCTTGCTATTCCTCTGATATACAAGTTAGGCTAAGTTAATGCTATCTTGCTGTAAAAGATAAACTCCCAATTCTAGGTCAGTTAAATGAATAAGAGTTTTTTTCTCATTTATGACATGGTTAATGTGGGTCAGCAGGGGTACTCTGTACTACCTATTTATTCGGGGATCCGGGTGCGTTCTGTTGTCAGTATGTTGCTTTAAGTGTGCCCTGGCATCATCCAAGTGGCCAAGAGGAATAGGAGAGAAGGGGAGTAGAGATGGCCCCCAGCTTACAGTGGTTCAACTTTGGATTCTTCCACTTTATACTGGTGTGAAAGCAGTATGCATTCGGTAGAAGGTGGCCTCTGAATTTTGAGTTTGGATCTTTTCCTGGGCTAGTGATATTGCAGTATGATGCTCTGTCCTGATGCTGGGCAGAGCAGCGAGTCAAGCTCCCAGTCAGCCGTGCAATCGCGTGGGTAAACCACCAGTACACTTAGAACCATTGTGTTTTTCACTTTCAGTACAATATTCAATAAATGCATGAGATATTCAACACTTTTTTATGAAATAGTCTTTGTATTTGATGATTTTGCCCAACTGTAGGCTAATGCAAGTGTCCTGAGCATGTTTAAGGTAATCTAGGCTAAGCTATGATGTGTGGTGGGTTAGGTGTGTTAAACGCATTTTGGGGGCGCCTGGGTGGCTCAGTCGGTTAAGCGTTGCCTTCGGCTCAGGTCATGATTCCAGGGTCCTGGGATCGAGCCCTGCGTTGGGCTCCCTGCATAGCGGTGAGCCTGCTTCTTCCTCTGCCTCTGTGATCTCTCTTTTTCGTTCTGACTCAAATAAATAATAAAATCTTTATTTTAAAAAACACATTTTGATGGGTTCATTGAGATGTAACCCCATCATAAGTTGTGGAAGATCTGTAGTCCTATCCCCTTGCACACATACATCATTTCGTTCAGATTTCATTGACAAGAACTGGTCATTAGGCTACATGTCGCATCAAACTGGGAAATGTGGTTTAGCTTTGTGCCCAAGGAGAAGAGGCCAGGGATATGATGAACATATCCTAGTCCGCTAAACTAGCCTACATTAGAAAAAGATAGTAATGATGGTTTCTGCATCATCAGATTATTTGGGAATGTAATTAGATAACAAGAAACTGCTTATCGCACACTGCCTGACTCAGAGTGAGTGACAAAGTAACAAAAGTTGTGTGTTTGTAATATTTAGGCATTATTAGTCATAATGAATAATGATATCTCAGACTTCCTTCCAAATTCAGAAAAGACAGTCCTTTCTTTTTCTGCAGATTACACCTCTAACTATACTTTGCATCCCACACTTTTCCACCTTCATCCAGTCATTCATTCACCTATATATCTCTGCATCTATCCATCCTTCCACTTGTGAAGCAGATATTCGGAAGCAGTCCCTAGCCTTGTTCTCTTCTTGCTCTCTTGTCTTATAAAACCTCAAGGAGACATTTGCCTTTGTCAGCCTCACATCTGGGCTGTCAGAGCTGCTGGGGCCATCGAGTGGGTGGAGAGGCTTCAGTGCAGATTCGTGATCTCTCCCCTTTCGTGTTCCTTCTGGCTGCTCAGCCAGCAAGTGTCCGGCCCTCCCCTCCTCACCCCTTAGGGTCTGTCTCACACCTTCACCCCGCTCTGCAGTTCCACATCTTCACTTGAATATCCCAATGTTCCAGTGTTCCACTGACATCCTAAAAAGGACCTCATGATCTGGCCCACTCCTCCCACCTCGCCATTTTCAACTACTGGTCTTACCATTCTGTAAGTCAAGAAAGCCAGGAAGAAAAGGACGACCCCACACTACCTCCGTCTTCTTCACACCCTCTATCCAGCTATTCCTGAATCTTGATCATGTTTCATCTTCCGTATCTCCAGAATCCGTCACCTTCCCCAGCTCCGTCGGTTCCGCACGAGCATCCTCGTCCAAGCCACACTCGTCTCTAGGCCGACGACGCTAGCAGATTTCCAGCTGCTCTACATGTATCTGTTGCGTGCCTCTGATCCGCTCTCTGCCTTCCGTCCGCTTCCCTATCCACTCACCCTTCTTCCAGATATCACCACCCACCTCGCTGCTCATAACTCAGCATGTGACCTACTTCACATTGAGAAGAGAGGCTACACACTTGGCCTTCTTGCTCTTTACCCCTGACAGACTCATCCTGCAGCTTACTTCTCACAGAGGTGAGAGGTGGAAGAGTTCTCACGCCCGGCATGGCGAGTTCCCCCAGCAGAGTCTAGATCTCACCTTCGCCTAACTTCTCAGGTGTATTAGTTATCTTTGGCCGTGTGGCAATATTACCACAAACAGAGCTTACAATATCACTTACTTACTGTGTCTCATCTGTGAGTCAGAGGTCCAGGCACAACTTGGTGGGGTCCGCTCCCAGACGGAAGTAGGGTGAGTGGATGGGGAAGCGGACGGAAGGCAGAGAGTGGATCAGAGGCACGCAGCAGATACATGGAGAGCAGCTGGAAATCTGCTAGCGTCATGCGGGCTAGAGACGAGTATGGCTTGGACGAGGATGCTCGTGCGGAACTGACGGAGCTGGGGAAGGTGACGGATTCTGGAGATACTGAAGATGAAACACGATCAAGATTCAGGAACGGCTGGATAGAGGGTGTGAAGAACATGGAGGTGGTGTGGGGTCGTTCTTTGGTCGCTGGCTTTCTTGACTTACAGAATGGTAAGACCACAGTCAGAGACACCTCACAACATGTCAGGTTCCTTCAGATCAAGTGTTGGTGGGAGAGACTCCAGCAAGAGGGATGCAACACACAGCCTCATCTTTTACATTTCCACCACTTGGCCACATCAGAAGCAAATCAAGGGCCTGAGCCATTCTGCCAGAGGGCATCATAACAGGGTGTAAGCACCACGAGGTAGGAATTACAGGAAGCCATACGTGAGTCTGCTGCACCTGGGACCTTGGGTCTTCACATAAGTGAAGGAAGTGAAGGAAATAATTCCTGCCTCTTCTATATCTTCACCTTCTCTCAACTCAACATAGGAAACACAGTGAAGTTTTGGACACTTGGGGGAAACTTGAAACAAAACATGCTCTTGGCTCTTCCAACACATGTAATTGTTGACGACTCTATTTCACCTGAACAACCAAGCTTCTGGGAGTTTTCTCATTCTCTGAAGAGACAGCCATGCAGGATCAGGACTTCTAGGCTTCCTCGTTACTATTTTACTATTTTCTTTAATTACTGTACGAGGGTATAACTTACACATAGTGAATATACAAATCTTAAGAGTTCATCTTTATGAAATATTACATATATAACCCCAAGTATCCACCACACAGGTCAAGAAATATTTCCAGCACCTCCCAGGTTTCTTCTGCTCCCTCCTTGTTAATACCCCTTTTACAAAAGTAGCCGGTGTTCAACTCAATCACTGTAGATTAGTTTTAAAGACTTATAAATGGACCCCCACAGTACATAATACTGTTATGTCCGTCTTGATAATCATCATGGCTCTGAGGTTCCCTCATGTGGTTGCAAAATTTAGAGTTATTTCTTAACTGTGCAGTGTCTCAGTGAATGAATAGATTACATATATCCATTTTCCTGTTACTTGGCTTGTTCTCCATTTTCAGAATATTGTGAAGAATGCAGCTATGAATATTCTTGATCATATTTTTTGTTGGATATAAGCACACATTTCTGTTGGGAATATGTAAATGAGTGGCCTGGCTGGATCATGGTGTAGATACATGATTAGCTTCAGTAGAAACCACCAAACAGTTTCAAAGGGACCGCACCATTTCACATTCCCAGTAGTCATGCATAAGAGTCGTCAACTGTTAACACCTACTGGGGAGCAGGTGGTATCTTCCTCTTTATTCTTTGAGACCCAGTAGTGTTGTTTCTCAGCACCACACTACTGAAAATGTTCTTACTCAGGTTACTGTTGACATTCTGATTGGCAAGTGCAACACCTATAATAATGATAAGAGGGGTGTACAGGTTACTGAACATTTGCCATGTACTGGACTGGTTGATTTACATAATTTTTCTTATGTAACATTATTGTGAACATTGTTATGTGTCCTCCCCAAATTCATACTTGGAGCTGGGGGGTTAGAACCCAGCTGGGGGGTTAGAATAGTGATGCTATTAGAGGTCGGGATTTGGGGAGATGATTGGATTTAGATGAGGTCATGGGGGTGGAATCCCCATGATGGGATTGGTGTCCTTATAAGAAGACAAAGGGAGACCATAGTCTTTCCTAGGTGGTGTGTGTGTGCTGGGGGTGGTTGGGAGAAGAGGGAGAACACTCTGGTGTCTCTTCTTGCTTCCATAAAGGCCCTATCTCCAAATTCACATTGGAGGTTAGGGCTTCAACACATGAATTTTGGGGGAACACAAACATGCAGTCCATAACAGTTTGCTTTTGGGGTAAATATAGGGCTATTCATATATTGTTTATCTTGCATCAGTTTTGGTAATTTGAATCTTTCAAGGAGTTTTTCCACTTCATCTAATTATTCTATCCATTACATTTTAAGATTGTTTTATCTTAAAATGTTAAATTTTATGTTATATATATATTTTTTTACCACAGTAAATAAAACTAAAAAAATAAATGAAGATACTCATATATATTTTTTACGTTTTTATCTTAATCACCTGGTGCTCATCATGACAAGTGTACTCCTTAATCCCCATCACCTGTTTAACCCATCCCCCCACCCACC